TAACCCTTTTGCAATATTTTATTCTTAAACTGATTTCTGGGGGAAAAAAAAGACAAACTGCAACAAAAAACAGATTTATAAAAATATACAATATCTTACTAGCTTCTGGGCGCTCAAGTGCATTTATCACATATTTAAAACAAACTTGAGCTCAGCTAAGCCCAATTATAATATCTCGCTGGGCAGAGAAATTAATTAAACAGCTGAATGATAAAGACCCCAGCAGCAAACTGAGGCTTTAAAATAAATAAGATTTTTTTTTTTTTTTTAAGAAGAAGAAGGGAAAGAAAGAAACCTATAATTCACATGTTCAAACAGTAATGTAAGCAATCTTTTCAGGAGTGCAACGCACGGTAAATAAGACTACCTGGCAGGGGAACGCAGTGGCGGCTCTAACGTGGCTCTCCAACTTTGTGATTTGCTAATGTGCAACACACACATCCCTTTTGCACCAACTTCAAATAACCCTGGGATCCCAGCAGTGCAGCTCAGCGACTGAACCAGAACAAGGGCAGAACTTGTCAGGATTTAAGAGCTTTCAGCAAAACCCTTCAATTGCAGCCGGTACCCTATTCCATAGAAGGATATCAATTATAGATAGTGACTTGCTTTAGCAGGGCAGTCGGTACTGTCAGACGCTAGATAGACAACCATGAAGAATCATGAATCTTTCTATTAACTGTAAGAGAAGGGGGGGCCAGAAAGGATGGATAGGTGCTATAAATAAGGCAGAGCGTCTGAATGGTTTAACACCTTGCCTTTTGGTGTATGTATCATGAAAATTTAACCACGCTGAATTCTAAGTGGCACATATCGCTTGAAACTAAGAGCTCCTGCACCAAAATCATTGCGGTGTCAAACCCTTCTGAGTGGGTCAATAACGATTCTTTTATGTAGCTTTTCAGTTATTTATTCATAGCAGCCCAGGTTCTGTTCATAAATTCAGTCAGAAAACATTGTCTCTTGAGGCCTAAGCACACTTTCACTAGCACCCACTTTTTACACTAATAAGAGCAGGACTTCGCTACAGAAAGTAATACAGGAAAAATGCCATCAAATGCTGACTGTTGTGCCCAAGATTGCAATTTCTGCTCTAAAGCTACACCACATATTCAGACACAGATTATGTTTGTATTTACCATTTCATACATGCTATATCACACATCACATTGTAATGCAGATACTGCTAGAATCTGATTCACCTACAGTTGATTTCAAAGTAAATCAGGTTCCATCATTCCCAAAAAGATAATAAAGCTATCCTCATGTGACAGAAAGACCAGAATACACACAAATTCATATTCACCTCTTTCAAAACACATGCATACATGTTTGTGTATACACCCTATACATGATGGGAGTAATGACATCTATAATGTGAACTGTGTGCCTTGTGTATTGTGGAAAAGCTCTCCTGAGCTCTGCTCAACCTAGTGCGACTAGAATTTTTGCTGAGGTACCTAACCATTTAGAAAACAAAACAGCTAGAAACAGACTTCCATCTTTTCCCTAAACACTGCAGTTCCTCTAAATTTCCAGTGTTTTGGGATGCAGGGCTTGGACAACAGTCTGTTCTGTGCCATTGGATGTTTTGGGTCTGATATCTTACTATTATGTATGGCTACAAACAGTAGCTTTATTCCCCTGAAAAAAAACCCACATTCATTAAAAGACTTACTGCTAACCTGCATAGATCCTGAAAATTCAGCCTTATCAGGATGTAGAAGAATGCTTTTTAGGTCTTTTTTCTGAAACTCCGCATTTTACAAATTTCCTCTTCCAGCTGAACTTCCAAAGCCCAGGGAACTGGTTCAGAGAGTTGTACAGGGGAAAGAATACTCTAAATACTTCCAAGTCAAATATACAAATGCATTTTCTTTTCTACTGAATATATGCTACATACCACGTGCTCAATGAAGTGGGTGACAGGGGAGGGGTTTCTTGCAATCCTTTGTGAAGGCCTACATAGCTCACTCTTAGTTTCACTGTACAGTTCACTTGACTACCCAGAGTATGGGCAAGTAAGTGTGTGTACACAACATCATGTAGTATCATATGTGTAGTGCTGTATCACACCCACCCAAATTCTGAACACGTGATTGTAGCTCTCTGCTCATGCTAATCATCCTTTCTGAGTGTCAGGGAACATAGGGAAGCCGGCAGACGTTATCTGGATGAGCCTTGCCAGGGCAATTTAATCCTGCAAAGCCCCGACCTTGCTGGGAAGCATAGCATGATCCTAGATACATGCCTACCTGTATAAGAGCTAGCTCAGGTACCTCCAGACAGCACCAAACAGCTCGATCTACATGGCTCCGGAGTCACAGGGTGAAGACCTCATGCCCATATCAGGGCCATTCCTTCTCTTGTGTTTGAGCAGCGTCTAGCACCACGGGACTCAGCTTAAGGAGGCCTCCAGCTGCTACTGCAGTGTAAATATTACTGAGTACAGGATGGCTTCACACCACTGAGACACATACTTTCTCTCTGCCTAGTTCAGGTGCATACTTGCACACACCAAATCAGGAACTCACTCAGTGCAAAGACACTGAGGTAAGCACAAATTACAGCAATTTGTATCTACTCGGATTTAACCATGAGAATTTGGTTCCCCACATGAGTGGGGAGATTTTTCAAGGGCTGAACTGCTACTCAGGGACTTAACGCTTTCTGCCGGAGTCACACACCTAAGCGACACCAGGACTGCCCTCCCATGAAGCCCTACTGAGACCTGGACTTCATTTCCCTAGTTGCTATAGCTGTATATCAGAGGGCTGTGGCAATCAAGGGCAGACAAAATGTGGGAGAGACAGACTGGGGTGAAGGGCCAGACTTTCAAACAGAGTTGTATGTCTAAAGCCCTTTGCAATTCTGGACAGAAATAACTCGCTCAAGTCCCCACAGCAGGGCTTTCTTGGAGCAGCAAAAGAAATCACAAACCAGGGCCCCATCACTGAGTCACGCTGACTCTTACAGCATGATTTGCACTACTTGAATGTCATGGTTGCGATGATGATTTTATTGTCTTCAGAATATCAAGTCAGGACTTGCACCTTGCAATCTTAAATGCCATCACAACATATCTGAATCCTGAGCCCTGCCAAAAAGAACTCCTTGTATCATCGCAACATTTTTTATCTGCTTTCTCTATGTCTAAAGAAACTCATTTCAGATGCTGCCATCATGCAGAAACATAAGAAATACACGTTTTTCAGAGCAGTCTTGCTATTGATTCTTAAAATGCAGTCAGATTCGCTACAAAAATCACACCAGAAACAATAAATGCATATAAAAAAAAAAACCAACCAAACTACCACACTGTCAATTTAATTCACCTGAAACTACAAAACATTAGCTATTAGCTAACAGGCAGAGCAGAATTCAGTTAAATTTTATGTCTGAAATTTCAAAAAAACGCTTCCTTTTATTCATTACCAAGGGCACCTTTATTCTGCATTTCTCTTTTATTTCATATATTTTGGTGTAAATTATTTACCATCATCACTGGGATCATTTGTGAATATTGAGAAAGGTTTGCCAGGCATCATAAAGCTTCAGCCTTGCAATTATTAGCAGATATAAAGACTGTGCCTGTGCAGAGCCCCAGATGATGTCAATCGGTCTGTTTGCATGGAATCAATTGTAAGACCGACACTTGATCTTTTAAATGTGTCCAACCCTTTGCAGCAGCCGTTCGTATGGCATTTCTTCCCAAAAAGATATTATGACACTGAAAGACTCTCTCCTCACATTTCATCTTGGCCTATTAAAATGCTAGGGTATTTTTTGTGCAAAATGTGTCCAAAAGGTTCTTAAAAAATGTCACATTTTTGCCATTATTTTAGTTTGTGATAGTTTTTCATTTATTGTTATTGTTACTGTTACTACTACTACCTAATAATAACAAGAAACTGAAAATACATCTTGATGAATAACTGCAAAACTAAGAGGCTCTCGCACTCCAGGAAGTTAAAGCTGGCATTTCTTTGCTGAAGTCAGCTTTGCAGCATCAGTTTACCATTTTGCATAGTGTTTGGAAATACATGGTGGGGGTTTTTTATTTATTTTCGGTGAAAAAGTATATTTTTCAACAAGCTATTTCTGTAGTATTGGCCACATTATGCAATAGATTTTGCGTGATATCCAGGAGAGTATTAAATAGTTTTCTACAATAAAGAGGATTCTGACACACTGATAATTTGCTGAAGATGTTCCTCTCTAATCTGTACTCGGAATTCCTTTTTTTTTCAGAGTATTTACATATGATCTATGATGCCAGGTAATTAAGAGAGGTGCTGCTAGTTAAGGAGGTTGCAAATGGGGGGGGCGGGGTTGTACTTGCCAGGTTATATTCTAGAAGTTTATTGTTCATTTTCTAGCTTACAATACCACAAAATAGTAAAAATAATTTCTTTTGGAGAGTAGTAGAATGAAAGAAAAAACAAGGCAGATACGACTAATATTTGGGTAGCATAAATAAGAAAGAGCATACAGTTTGCTTTTGCTAAAAAGACTGAATAACTCAGTCTCCATGTATTTAGCCAAATAATCCACTTCAGTTTACACACAAAAGTAAATTGATACCAAAAACCCCCTTAGGGAAGGGGAAGAATTCCCCTTGCCCATTTCTACTGTTACAGTCCCTTTTGGGAGAAAAAAATCAAACTTGGCTAAAGGTTAATAATAATTCATGTCCAGCTTACTATTACTCAATAACTATCAAAGTCTCTAACTCAAAATAGCGTTTGCTGGCTTACAGGATCAGAGCCATTACAATCTCTATTGAAGACTTTATTGAATTTTACACTAAGCTTTAGCTGACTGAACAGGTCAAGCACTGTGGCTCCGAGTTTTCTTTATTCTCAGAAACTCATAAACCCCTCTCCAGTTTGCAGCGCTGTTAGCTAAGAAACTTGACTCAGCACAAGGTCAGAGAACCCGACCCCCATGAAAAAGGTCACGTAGTTTTAAAACTCAGTTCCTGAATACCATTAACTTACATGCACTAGCTGTTCCTGCGTGTCAAACTCCCGGGAACAGCCTTCCCAGTGGCAGTTTGTCTCGTAGACCACTTCAGGCTCCTGTTTGCTTTCATCTTTGTCCCCTTCCTCTTTTACCAGGGTCATTCCTTCTGGCTGTTCCTGGAGAGAGAAAAAAAACAGGGGTGAGGAGAGGAGAGAGGAAATTCTGAAACTGAGGAGGAAGAAAAGTGAATTATTTCAGCATCAGAAGAAAGATGGGGGTGGGTCTGTAGATTATTCTACTCTCAGTTCACTCTGTTACTCACTTCTACAAAATACAGAAGCCTGTAAGCCAGAAGCCATTTGCAGACTATACATGTAAAATAATGTTTTCCTCCCCAGAATTACTCACTGCAGAGAATTTCTAAAAAAAACAATCCCCTTACATTTCAGTTCAAAGCAAATTCCAAAGGCTTGGCTTCCCTTTCCCCATATTTAAGCAGCTCTTTATTTGCACACTTACCCCTTACTACTCATCACATGGCATCACTAGTGAAAAAGACACTGTTCAATATCGTTGAATTAATAGGAATTTGACTTTAGTGCTACGGTTAGACACAAAATGGATCACCAGTAATCCAGAGTGTGTTTTCATTGTGAATCCAGTGACAATTTTGCCCACAAAAACCTTTCCAAAAGCAGTTTGGGTAACTTGGTAATTTTCAGGCTACTTGTTAGCTTGTTCTTGCCTGTAATGTGTGCACGAAAGGGGTGAGCAGGAGAAGAGAGTATTTAATTTTGGGTTTTGACTTTCCACCTTCAGTTCCTCAAGGTGCCTCATTCTCCCCAGCCTGTTATGTGCTCAGGGTAAGGGTCAGATGTTAGCGTAAACATTTGGTTCAGATTATGCACTCACGCTCTTTCCATTTCAAACCTGCGGAAGGTTAGACGGACCTCTGCTTTGTTTTCACGGATTCACTCACAAGATCGAGGCTCTGATTCTCATCTCCCCCACGCCACTGTAAATCAGGAGTCACTCTACTAAAACCAGTGGCATTAACTGGTATAGAAAGTAGAGCAAACAAGACTGGAGCCTGACAGTGAGGCCTCAGTGCAGTACAGTGCTAAGACCTGGTAAAAGTCAGCATGGTGTAAGCATTCTTGCTGAACAGAAAACATGTCCTCAGTAAAGACCTGAATGTCTCTGGTTCGCTTTTCCGTGGCAGAGAGGGTTGAGCGCTCTGACTGATCAGAGGCACCTCTCCATCAGCCTCCTTCCTCTCTGCCCTCATTCTGCAGCACAGCCCTGTAGCCCAGCAGCCCCTCGCTGCCCACGTTCAACCCTTGCTACCGTGAGCTGAGGTGTGAACCCCATGCATGAACTAGATGAAGGGCTGTACGAGGGCAGAAAGCCTGAAAAAGCCTGCTACAGGCGAGGTCCATTTTCCCTCGGGCAGCGAGATGAAAGGCTTATGACTGTAACCACAATACCTGCACGCTTCCTGCTCCCGGGCTGGGGAGGTCCTCATCGGGCTTTATCTTGGAGCGCTTGTTGTGCATGGGATCTCCAGTGCTGCTCACTGCAGATTCACTTGTGGGTTTATTCTGCTGCAGGCAGGGTTTTTTTTCCCCAAAAAAGACAAAATTAGACTGTGATAAATACGTAGCTCCAAACAGGAATATGCAGCATCTGCTCAGCAACTTTATTTGGAGAAGCTACACTGTTAATTATACTGGATATGCAATTACCTTGTGCTTCAATTACCTAGCATTAACTTGTGGAAGAGCTGCATCACTCAACCTTGTAATGGAGCAGGGAGGGAACAGGAAGGAGGGCTTTTGATGTAATTCCTTGCTACAAACCAATGATGGTTTTGTCAGGCCAGGGAGGGGGTAGGAAGAACTCAATTTTCCACATAAGGATGACTTCGGAAAGGCAATTTTGAAAAACGAAATCACTCTGCACTAGTTTGAATCAACACGAGAAAAATATGCATCTTTTTATACTTGGAGGAGAGGTTTTGCACTTAACATCTGCACACAAGACCTCAGCTCTTTTACTGCATTTCCCCTTATAATGCGGGATAGGAAGAAAAACTGCACACTAGTGTGAAACGCTCAGCCAAAAAATCCTAGATGAAGTCCTGGATTCTCCCGTCAATAGCAAAACTACTGCTGACATAAACAGGCCAGAATCTTGTTTTTCTCTTGCTGTGCTAGACTGAACACCATTATCTACACCTGCAAATGGATCTTGTAGGAATCCAGAGATCTTTTAGAGATATCTGAACTTGCATGGACCCCACAAAAAATCAATATGCTTCCTACAGCAGTATGTTCTGCTTCTACATTTGTAAAAGCTAGCCAGGAGATAAACAGCTCCCAGACTGATAAATAACCTATCCTAGGTCATCTGGAAACAAACAGCACTAGTTAATAACAGGCAAACCACGAACTGTGATAAACTCCACATTATGGGCCTGATTCACTGCTGCACATCTCCAGCTTTTGAGAATACAACTTGGTTTATCAAAATGATTAATTCAAACTCACTAGGTCCAATTTTGCACAAATCAGAGAAAAAAAGCTTCAAACCTCTGCACTGTCTTTGAGTTCCTCTGTTGCTCACAGATTGAGTTACTCACTTTGATTTACCCACACCTGTGTCAGGAGGGCAGAATCCAGCCCTGTGTATATTATAGCCAGCCTGATTTGGAGGTGAAGCTGCTAATCTTTCAAATGTTAGTGTTTTGATGTGGTTTTCCCCCCTTTTCCTGCTCCCCACCTCTATTATGTTCCTGTATAAGATCCAGGAGAGACAGTTTGGAATGAGAAGCTGCTGCAGCACACTGAAATATTTATGAGGACTAAAAAGCATGCTACCAATCAGGAACCGCGCATGCACTCCTGTGATTTATAATAAAGGGACTGCAAATGCTATAGCTGCAAGAAAACTGTTATCGAAGGGTCTCAGTGACAGTGGTGATTAATTGCTAAAAGACAATGTAGTTTGTTTCATTTTTTCATAAATTAATGGGGTGCAAAGGTTTCTTTTGTTGTCTCTCACCTGCGTGGACTCAGAAGGTCCAGAGCTGACCTGGACAGGGTTCAGGACACTGGGGATGCCAGGGATAGGTCTCTGGGTAGGAAAAGTTGGAGCAGGATGGATGAGCGGAGGGCTGTGTCCAAAGGCTGAACCTAGGGTTTGCTGACGACTTATAATTTGCTGATGCATTTGCTGGAGGGATACCGGTGTAGGAGGGTATGTGAAACTCAGAGCAGGGCTGAATTTGGGAGAAAAAGGAGGAAAGAGGAAGGAAAAAGACGAGGGTCATTACAGTATGGAACCATACAGATTAAACATTTAAAATATATTTGATATATTTACATTAATTGAAGTCAAGTCCCTCCCTTCCCCTCATGTCTTTCTTCATGCCCCAAAGGATAATAAATCCTGCTTTTAAATCCAGAGTTGGCCCGGATTTACTAGTGAGTGCAAAAATGATACCATAACAAAACATAACATTTTTTCCTAACATTTACCAGGAAATCACAGAAAGCTGACCAAAATAAAATTCAGAAAAACTGAAATAAAAGGCAAGCAGTTCAATAACAGCTATTTATTGCAATAACAAACTTTATATAAAGAAAAAGAATGGGTGCCTACATGCTTTATAGTACTTTTATTGATAATGCAGTTCCCCTATGTTAGCGTGTATGAAGCAGTTCCTTTAATCTTGGCTCA